CCACCAAGCTCCTGGACAAATCCGTTCATTGGTTGATTCCTGAATCTTGTGAAACGATGAAACCGGTAGAAGGAAAAGTACGCGATCTTCTAGAGGGGGCGAGAGTTGCTGCGAGAGATTATTACGACAAAAGCAACTGGAATTACGGAGTTATCTCAGAGAAAATGGGGAAACTGCACTTCTAAATACGTTCAACTGGACGATGTAAGGACTTGGAATTACGTCATGTAGATCAGCTACGGAAAGTCGGCTCAAACCTAACTGGTGATAGATTCGTTCCTGCTACAGTGCTGCTGGAAGATCTCACAGTACATGGAGCTCTTCCTGACGTTTCAACTGATTCTGGAGTTTTGCCCAGTGCTAGGCCGGATCAACCGTAACCCCAACAGTCAAATCATATTCTGCCGCCGCCTGCACCGATCAAGACCGAGCCTACGAGAGTTTCTGATCCTGATTCGACGACCGGAAGAGATGCCAATCTATCTAACGAAGGAGCGCATAATTCACCGAGACGATCGGGCAGAATTGTTCGTCCCTGCGAGAAGATTGAATTTGTGAAGAGCCTGATATCACAAACGAAGTGACAGACGACTTACTGGCGAAGAAATCCATTAAAATAATGTGGTTCACTGTAATAGAATTTTCTTGGAAGCTTGTGCCATCATCCACCAGATGGGTTAGTTTTTTTGTTTTGATTTGAACATAGTTGATTTTGTGTACAATGATTCTTTGACAGTGTGCAAAGAGTGTATCATTTTGTCATTTTTTTATGCATTTCAGTTTTGAGTAGAGTGAAAGAGATAGAACCAAAACATTCTAATACATTTGGTGAAAATGCTAGTACAATCCAGTAGTGTTGCCATGTGGTACAATCCAGTAGTAGTGGTGTTGCCATGTGGTACACTGAAAAATTGAAATAGCAGGTTAGTCACCAAAGTTTTCGAGCCGCTCCGTCTGTCACTTCGTTTGTGCTGATATGCCATTGAATGCTTTTAAGGAAGGAAGAGGTGCCATACCTTTATTAAATTGCTTTCATGTTATTTGTCTATGATAACCTATAGTTAAAATACTTTGCTTTTGCCTACGACAGCTGCCACCACTTCTTCCGAGCAGAGAAAGAAGATAAATTTGTTCATCTAAAAGTGATAATAATGAAACACACAATTCCGCACACGTCCTAGAATTTGTTCCGGTTTGCTTAGTGAAATCCTCCCGAAAAACCTATTCTTGGTCACCGTTACAACAGGAGCTATAGTAGACTAAGCAAGTGAGTTGAGTTGAACTCACTTTCTGGTCTTTCATTTCCCAGTTCATTTGAGTTGAACGCTGAATTTGATCATCTAAATTGGGCTTTAGAATGGGTGCAAAACGTGACACAAAACACATTGGTAGTGGATTTCAGTGTACTTCCGAGGCGACTAGAAGCATCTCTATTACAGAAGTTCATGTATGAGCTTAACATTGCGTACACTATAAACAACTAGAATTGAATTATGTCGTGATCGTAGATGGAGCAAAAGCCAAGCTCTACTATGTGTCACACCATCTACAGCACACAATGAAAAAAAAAGGAGTACAAAATTCCTGTTTACTGTCTCCTCTGAAGATGATGCGCTTAATCCTCGAATCCAGTAGTAGTAAAATTATGTTTATTTCTGTTGATTATGATTGTACATTGATTTAACATTTTAATTGATTAGCCATCCTGGGTCTTCATCTTTGTTTAATTTGATATTCTAATTTAATATTTGCGTTTTTCAACTATTTTACAGAATACCCCTTTGGGGGTTTGTTTTGTAAGAATTGAAAAAAAGTGAAAACCTACCTAACTACGAGCATCTAATACCTACCTCCACTAAACGTGCTAGATCATGTATGATCTGATGATTTGATCTTAGACAGGTGTCTCTGAACCTTTCCAGGATGAATACTCTCCGTTCTTCTAATGTCTGAATTCCAGCCAGGAGGTGGATCTCAGAATTTCTAGTCTGCGGGGGACTGTTAAGGACCATCCTAAGGATCTTGTTCTAGATCCTTTGGAGTTTAAGGTGATGGCATTTTGCGCAACTCTCCCAGATTGGCATACCGTACTCGATTACAGGAAGGATGATTTGTTTGTAGACGGTAAGCTTATTTTTCAGGGACAGGGTTGACTTCCTGTTGATAAGTGGATACAACGATCTTATCAAGATGTTGCACTTGGTTTTTGTTTTGTCAACGTGCTCCCTGAAATGAAGCTTGCTGTCTAGTGTTAAGCCGAGGTAGACTACCTCTTTTGACCATTCCACCACTGTGCCGTTCAGGCAGATCTTATTATTCACCGACGGAACAAGTCTGTTGATACGAATCTTCCAGCTGTTGAAATATTCAGACAGGACGTCCAGACCTCTCTGAAGTTTGGCAGTTAGAGCTCCGATGACCCTACCCTTGTAGACGGTGGATGTGCCATCTGCGAACAGAGACAATGATCCACCATCTGGGAGAGCCGGCATATAGGAGGTGAACAGGTTGAATATAATAGGGCCAAGGATACTTCCTTGTGGAACCCCAGCACCAATGTTGAAAGCATCCGATGTGATGCCATTCAGAGAGACTCGGAACGTCCTGTTCGATAGGTAGTTGTTAATTATCTTCACTAGGAAGATTGGAAGACCGTACTGCTGCAATTTGAACACCAGGACATCATGCCAGACATTGTCGAACGCTTCTTCAACGTCCAACAACGCCATGGCAGATGTTTTCGAAATAGACTTGTTCCGTCTGAGAATGTTTGTTACTCGAGTCAGCTGGTGGACGGTCGAACGACCTTTCCGAAAACCAAACTGTTCCTCGAGTAACAAGTTGTTTTCTTCGGCAGATGTTAGGATCCAGTGGTAGACTGCTGTTTCGGACAGTTCTTATAACCCTAAGAGAAGGCTGATTGGTCGATAACTTGAAGGAGAGGACGGATCCTTCTCAGGTTTCCGGATGGGTATGACTTTAGCTGACTTCCAGCACGAGGGGAAGTAGCCAAGTCGGAGGCAGAGATTAAAAATCAGTTCCAAATGGTTGTAGAATCTGGAGTTCAAATGTTTGAGTTCTAGATTCAGGATGTTGTCGAAACCTGGGGCCTTCATGTTTTTTGATGATTTGATATTGGCCAACAGCTCGTCAGCCGTAATCTCGGATTCCTCGGCAAAAATATTGGGAATCTGATGGAGGTTGGTTGCGTTTTCCGCAACCTCAGCTTCGTGAGGGCTGACGATGTTTTGTCCGAGATTATGAGACCTGACGAAGTGTGGACCTATCGCAGCAGCCTTCTCTTCAGGAGTTATCAGATGAACCACTGGGTCGCCGGGACGTTCTAGTGGGGTCAATGGTGGAATGGGTCTTGGCTTATTTTTAAGAATTTATGTAAGTTTCCGAAAGGGCTTTGTACAATCTGGGAGAGAGCGGATCCTGTTAGCAAAGTCCTGATTTCTGCGGTCCACCATCGTGGCTTGGATGGTTTTTGTTAGGCGATTACAGTTGGTCTTAAAGACAGGCAGACCAGAGCGTTGGTACTGATGGTGTTACGGAGTCTTATAAGGTATTTGGTAGATCTGTCAAAGTTCAGAGTATTGCTCACCTGTCTGGATACTGGCACGTGTTGTTCCCTGGCCCGGGATATCGCCTCCTCGATGGAATGCAGACACTGGTCAACGTCTTCGGACGTCTCCGGAAGGACAACGTAGTCGCCGGTGGAGTCGACACAGTGTTGGAACTGATCCCAGCTGACGCGATAGTAGTTGCGTCGATAAGCTTGGAATCGGTTGACGGATGAGCCCACATCGGCCACTACCGAACTCAGCTCCTGGTGGGTCACAGGTTGCGAAATGTTGTCTCCCATGTTACTGACGAAGATGTCGAGCGGGTGGGTGAGTCCAACGCCATTATAGTGTAGTGAGCCTCTTGCAGGTCGTCGTTCAGGATTGTGCCGTTTTGGTTGCGTCGACCGTTGCCCCAAGCTGCCAGCGTTGCCAGGTCACCAGCGATGATGTACTTCTCACGGCGTCGAGTTAGTTTGATGATGTCTCTCGATCATCTTCAGCTGGAAACTCGGTAGCAGTCGACAGCCAACATTTCTCCTTAATGCGATAGCCATTCCTTCTTCGCAGGAGCTGGTCCGGTCTAGCCTTACGAGCCGAAAATCGGGGAGGTAAACATTTAACTCCGGCTTCAGGTGTGTTTCGGTGATGACAGCGATGTCTATGCTATGTTCATTGGGGAAAACAACGAACTCAATGATTTCGCTCTTGAGCGAGCAAGCGTTCCAATTGGCTATTTTGATGGTTTCACGGTCCATACTTTTGTACGAGGGTCATAACTGCACGAAGCTGTTCAGGTAGTGTCTTGGTGGTGCGCAAGATTATGATCACCTCAGTCACGAGGATCACTAGTTCGTCGCTTGTGAATGGAGAATTTTCTTCTGACTTACCTGACACAGCACGGGTATTCCAACGAATAAACTAAACACGAAACACGGTCTTTTAGCAAATGAGCTTAAGAATTCAGTGTAGGCTTCGTATTTTAGGTTAGGCTCGCTAACAATAGAATTCAATATCGTACTATGGGCTGTAAGTACATAAAATTATACGTCAATTTAATTAATCAAATTTTAGGTATTTGGTACTGCGATTTCTAGCGCGATTAGTTCGCACGTTATCCAGCTGAAATCACTTTGACGTACGGAAATAGCCTCAGCTTACTGTAGTAATACGATTACGTATATAGTGTTAGGAATATTAATAAATTCACTGTATTATTTAATTTCATCTGCCTTCCACGCACTATCTATCACGCATTTAATAGGGCTTTTTTCTGTATTTCCTGGGTTTCTGATGTTCGCCCGTCATCACCGTTTGGAATTAATTCTGCAGAGTTGGTACTATGATACTAACCAGCGTTGCCAGCTTGTACGGCAACAACGGGCGTACGATAATCCCGGGGCAGTAGAGGCATGGCTCGGCTGGGTCACAGCATCAGTGAGGCGATGCTGAACAGAACGGTGGCTGGGGCCCGCTTGATCTGTTGTTGGATTTGCAACGAGTGGGAGGGGAGGGGCGCTGGTTTAGTGGAAGCGGTGCTAGGTTCGGGACCATACGACGAGCCGGAAGTACAGGAAACGTGTCCTTGTTGACAAGAGGAGCACGATTATTGCGGTGGCGACCAGGTTGGTTCCTCGTGGAAGCCTGTTGTCGGATTTGGATGAAGGCTACTCGCTTGGGACATCTCCTATCGCTGTCCAGATGGTTGGAATGACAGTTCACGCACTTAGGTTCAGCTTCTTCTTCCTTCTTGCAGGCGGTAGTATTGTGAGCCCCAGCACATTTGCAACAACGAGCCTTCATGTGACAATTATTCGTACCGTGCCCAAATGCCAGACAATTAGTGCACTGTGTCACGTCACGGTGCCGAGGGCGATACTGCTCCCACTGAATCACGATGTTGAACAGTGCGCGAATCTGCCGCAGAACTGCCACACTGGTGGAGTCTTTATCGAAGGGCACCAGGTACAACTGGTCCCGGAATGCACTGGTTTCATCACGTCTCGCAATGGGAACACGGATCACCATTTTCAGTGGTTTTCTTCCAGGAACGTCGTGAGTGTAGAACTCAAACCGGTTCAGCTGAAGAATAGTGCCAACAGCGTTGTAGTCCACCAGCGTCGAGCACAAGATTGTGATCCCCGTGCTGCACAGCTTGAACAGCGGATGGATTTGATTTTTAGCCAGCTCATTCCTGGGCAACGCGAGTTCCTTCGTCGAGGTGAAGAGTGGGGGCACTTTTTCCCGTTTCTCAACTAGATCTACATCTGCTTCTTCGGGAAGTGCCGAGAACGGATTACTCTGAAGCAACCTTTCCGTGTGGTTGCTGGCACCAGCTTGCTTGCGAGGCCTTTTCGGGGCATCTTGACCCATCACCTTTTGTTTTTTCAACGGGTGAGTGGAGGCATTCAATTGTTGCTCCAGTACCGCCAATTTAGCGACTGCCACAAGAGAGGCGAGAACTGACGACAAGTTGCTAGCCAAAGCGAAAACTCTCGACGGGTACCACGATCAAACGACCGACTAAAAACACCGAACTACTCGAGAGAGCGAGCGAAAAGAGATGCTCGAATCCATGATCTTCGTCGACAGCGTTTCCTACCCGGGACAGCCCGGGAAACCTTTCCCGAGAAATTTATTAAAAGAAACATCTAAGGACAAAGTTTGCAGAAACATCCAGAGGATGTCTCAAGATCTTCTAAAGGAAATCTGAAGAATGCTCTTGGTGAACAAACAATTTGACAACACTGGCCCCGCTGTTGTATCAAATTTTGTTCAGTGCACATGTCTATGCTGATTCATGCGATCATAATTGACCAATGCACAGAATGAACTCATGAACAAATTTGAAGTTTGAACAGTTTACTTAACGGTTTACCGTGTTTACTTAAAATGAACACATGTAGTAATGCTCGCGTAACTTTAGAAAAAGGCCTATCACCTTTTCTAAATAACTTGTGAAAGTTGATAGGCCCTTTGCATTTTTAGTAAACACGGCACCGCTCAAACGTAAATTTTTTTCGTGAGTTCATTCCGTGCATTGGTCAATATATCGTATATAGATCGGAACACGGTCTCTAACCTCACTTTATGTTCCCTATGATTTCGTCTCTGAGCAGAAGAGATGGCAACGAATAAAAGCCAAAACAACCCACCTAGAAGTGAGAGAAAAGTGCGGCATATCTTCCTGGACTGATCACTGTAGTGGAAGCCCACGTAACTATTTAGGTTTTATGAGGGTGACCATGATTTAGACATGTAGAATGCTATTAAACCACAATAAAACTTGCAATGTTTCTTGGGAGGGGTATTGACCTGAGAGGAAGAGGAGACAACTGGCTTCTTACTCTTTTATCTCTATCTCTATCTCTATCTATCTCTATCTCTTTATTACGCACTTCAAATCGGCCAATCACGAGCTGGTTGGCGTTTGACAGAAAAGTGGTTCGTTATCGCCCCCGTATTGTCTTCCCTTCCTCTTAGGTATTGACGAGTGTCAATGTTTTTAAAGTTTTGTAAGAACGACTGTCCAACTAGGGGAGGGAGGGGTGTTAAATCTCTCAAAAACTATCAGAACACATTCCATGCAGATCATCAAGCGCTCTCAACCACACCACCGTTAGCTTTCATTTTATGACACTCGCTCAAATATTACCATGCTTATTAAATAGTGTTCCATCGCTTAAAACCGCCGTCATGTGCTGTGGTCAGATAAATATACAAGCATAGGAGAAAGTACAAACCTATAATAGCATTTGTTTAGCCTTACATCCACCGGTTCATTTTCCTATGTCATTTGAATTTTTTCATTTTAATTAGTGACTTTTACTGGCATGTACATTTGATAGGCAAACAACCTCACGGGCCGTAAATTATTCCTTTCCGCATCGGCTGCATTCTGGAAAGTGCTAAAACGAGATTAGCATTTTATGATCGTCGAGCAATTTGTAGTTTGCACCGCCGGGCGCCAGCTGCGTCGGATGGTTGAGGCAAACATAATTGGAAGATGGAAAAATGCAGCAAGCATAAATCGAAAGCTTCAATTTGATCCTTGTTAGGATAATCGGTTCCAAATGAAGGTTATCAAATCAAGCAGAAGGTAGAGCAGAAGATTACACGGATCCTGTCGGCTCCATGCCGCAGCACATGAAAATGGTTCAGATTGCCAGTTTCATCATTCACCTTCGGGGGGTCTGCCGAGCTCAGTCCGAAGATTCCACTCCAATCATTTCCAATCGGATTCTGTTTCTTGGGAAATCCTTGAACCGTCTTCCTCCAGGCTGGGATAATAAGATGAAAGCCAGATACGGGCTCACATGTCACGTTCCATAGATTTTTTGGATTCACAAAAAGGTGTTTTCCTTCGATTGGATATTGGAAGATTCTTTCACCGGTTCGCTTTCGGACTAGATTGGAACGGGGTCTGGTTTTGGGGATCTTAAAAGAACATGTGCTGCGCAAAGCAGTTCTAGGTCAGTATCTCTTGAGCTTCATTACCCACAGACACACACACATTCAAAACCAGAGAAAACCAACAAACCAATCGACATCTTATTATCCAACAAAACACTCTCCAAAAAGGCCAACATCTGTAAAAACCACTCGAGTCCATTCCTGCCTCAAAACCATAAACCCTTTTTTCCACTCACACAGTAGAAAGCTAAGCAGGTAAACCGTATAGAGCTCCCACCGCCGCCGACGACGACGACGCTGATGATGCCTGTGGTTTATTTGATAACATTAGATGAATTCATTGCATGTTCTATTATTGTTATTATTATTATAGCTTGTTATGGCCGTCATCTCCGGAGCTACATACATAAATACCTACATATATAGTAATATGCTGCTGCTGCTGTTGCACGCGGTGCGGGGGCGGAGCTCGAGTTTTGATTGAGATGACGGGTTTTGAATAGAGCCCCGCGTGGCAAACATATCAGCCAGCACCGCTAATACAATCATCCTCGGAAGCGTGCATTGGAAGGTATGTTGGTATATGAGGATTGCAAGGAGATGGGACGGAATTGGGGTAGAGAGAGAGAGAGAGAAAGAAGTTGAGCCCGCGGAGAATGAACAAATAAAGAAATAAAAGGGTTAATGGCCTTTTGTTCGACTTTGGAGTACTACATTCAGAGGGCTGGTTGGTTAGTTTGAACTGTTCGATGATGTGGGACATGCTGGCAGAAGGGGGCAGCGGCAACGAGGAGGAGTAGGTTAATGTGTGTTTTTAACATAAATAAACATAATTTACTCATAAGCTTCGATGTACGATGCGTTTTTATTTTGTTTGTGCCGAGGGAAGACGATAGTGGTTGCGGTTAAGTGATGGTGAAACGATACCGGAGAGACCGTGCGTCAATGTGTGTTTACTTTATTGGTAAATTTGAGGTATGGTTATGGGTTTTATTTTTGAATGATTCCATGAGGAATAAATGGTTTGGGTGGGTGGATATCCCGTGATGGGTTCATTTCTCCGGACATTTGTGTGAGTTCAATATTAGTGCTAGTGGCTTTTCTATAATTTTAATTTAATTTAATTTGATTTTGAATGATTTCATTATCTGATGTCTGATTGTCAGAATCCTGTAAGCATATTATATTTATTTATTTATTTATTTATTGTCGGCAGACCGTTTGATACAACAATAATTACCTTCTTTGCTTATTATAACTATGAATTAAAAAATCTAAATAACAAGTTTGCTGATTTTTACATCATTGATTTCATTGAGTCCTAAACTTGCAATTTTGTCAAAAATAAATTGCAATGTTTCATTTTCACCAATGACAATGGGAGTAGGATGTCATCATTTTCAGTGTTTGGAATGAAGTCAATACTACGCTGATTACCCAACGAACAATTGCCTATTGAAGAAACGACTTCTTGGCGATTTTATTCAACTGCATGCTTAATAATACTTGTACTATTTTGAATAATAATTTCGGTTCAGGCTTTGTTCACACAAATCTGGAGAATTTATTCAACCACAACATCGAAATATTTGATGTTGAATAAACTATGTCGAGATACAGTGCTGTGTTCCTAAAATTTGAACTAAGTAGTCGCACCCAATATTTACCAGCGCCCTTCAAATATAAATCTGCCTTAAATAACTATACGTCCATCCCCGACGTTGTTTCAAATAGTGTATTATCTAGTTTATATGGTACGTTGCGAAATATTTGTACTTTATCGAGCACCGTACTCCTTTCTTCTTGAAATTATGATTAGTTTCCGAATGTTCCACCAACATTTTCCTAGCACCATAATTTGTGTTTCCTTATTTATCTCATACCATACTTGACTTTCTCCAAATTTCAGGAAAAACCTTGAACAATTTCTAGAATTTTCCTGAACATTCTTGCTAAAACAAAGTTCCCAAAACTACCAGTATGTTATCAAATCAAAACCTCCGCAGTCCTTACTGCGCTAACCGAAGTAATGGTACAACAACTTTTGTTTCTCCGAGGCCCCTTCTTAAGTCACAAGTACTAGGCTAAATAAGGGGAAGATTATGGATATGATGATAGTTAAAATCAAGAAACAAAAAAAATATAGATACATAAATATGGATTCGCTTTATGCGTTTCACTCAGAATACTTCTGGCGTTTTACACATCATTATCCAATTTGGTTTCTACGCTGCTGTTCAATTTATGTTGGAGGTGGTGGATTTGTGAGTTCTTGAGTAGTTATAAATTATGACTGCGGTTAAGATAGCATACATCAATCGCCAACATAAAAGAACAGCAACCATAAAAATATATATAGAATAATGCAAAATGGCACATCCCATGTGGCTCTCGTACAACAAACCTTACTTTCGTACAACAAACCTTACAGGATTTTTACGTTTATATCAGGTTCTGGGGATCAAAATCAGTCGATGAACAATTCTATGCTGCCTCCCCAACATTTCACTCCAAACTTCCACCTCCGTCTAGCAAAAATTGATTTGCCGAAATTCAAAGGGGAGTTTTCTCGTCGGATTTCATTTCGGGACACATTTACGTCAATGGTCCATGCAAATGGTGATATACCTACAGTTGCCAAATTGCAGTATCTTCTCCAATCTCTCGAAGGGGATGCCAAGAAACCCTTCGAATCAGTTGACATCGAAGCCGACAACTACGCTACAACATGGGACGCTCTGATCAAGAGGTACGACAACCGACGATACCTCAAAAACAACTCTTCCAGGCATTGTACGACTTGCCAGCAGTTAAGCAGGAGTGTGCGAAACGCATTCAAGGTTTGGTCGACGATTATCAACGTCATGTTCGCGCCCTCGCCAAACTGGGTGAACCAGTGAATCATTGGGACACGCCGCTCATCAATTTACTTTCGTAAAAACTGGATGAAGCAACGCTAC